CATTGCTGCAGTAGGCACAGTATGACTTGTAATTGGTGACTTACGAATTGGTAGAGTGGGGTTTCGATAGGATTTGGTGTTGTAGGATTTGGTGTTGGCATCCAGTACAGTGTTGGGCGTGGTGGTTTTCTGTGACTGAACGTGTGATTCTTTCTCTACATTTGGTCGATTTCGAATCTCTGTCCTCCCAGAACTGACATCTTGATGTGCAATCCGACTTTCATTTCACGTCACCTCGTTTCATTTGCAACCAGATATTCAAGTAGCCCAAAGTATAGATTGTGTCTCACCAGTCAAAATCCCACGATTGAGGTAATACTCAATGACTGTGACAGTCGTTGTCGTTGGAAAAGCAATATGTGCCGTAGGCCTTGTACTGGTACCAGTTGATAGAGTTCAAGTATGTGCCACTGGAAGTGATTAACTGTATTAACAGGGGTATTAACTGTACTGATTGTGAGGATATAGGTTGACACAATGGTAGAGTTACTGTGGTACTTGGCTCTTGTTTCGGGGTTATTGTTGCTCAACAATGACGCTAGTAATGTTGCTTCATTCAGCTCAGTTTGTGCCTTTCTAAGTTCACGTGTTCTACTTAATTAAGTTTGTATCCTCTGTCTTTCTCTGAGAACGCGACGAGTGGTCGTTTGAGCCTGATAGGCTTCATCATCAAGTCTGTGTATCTGATGAGACATCTTCCTCAAGTAGCTAGTTATTCGTCCAATTTCTTTTGACTTTGATCACGTTTGTGTTAATTGTTCACCAGATAGCCGAGAGTGAATTGAGTCACAAAACTGAACGTTCACTCCTCCGACAATGTTCACTACTACCATGACCACGATGGGACCTGTTTTGGGGGGAATTGTACGGACGCTTCGTGTATATCTCCCTGTTCGTTCGTTGTCCTCTTGCACTGGTTAAATCAAGATGATAATCTTGCAAGTATGATGGCAATTGACGACCTGACTTGCTGACTTTTCCTGTCTGCCATAAAAAAACAGTATATTGTTCAATGATCATGGCACGATAAGCCACTCAGCTGTCAGCGTGTCAATGTTGTTTACACTCACAGTTCGGCATTGGCTGCTTTGGATATCCGCCTTGAGGGACCATGTTAAGAATAGAGTGTGTAGTTTAAAACAGCCATTTATTTCATTGAACGCTTTCTCAGACTCGATTCAGGATTTAAACACTTTACCACTTTAAACATTGAACTCGTCTCAAGATCAAATGTTCAGGTGTCTTCTGGCGGAAGCACGTGGTTCACACACAAAAACCTAAAAACCTCAGCTATCATCGGGTAGTTCCCGTAGCAGCACCTTTCTGGCTACAGGTCTGAAATACTCATTTCCATTTGTCACTTTCACTTTAGCCGAGCTGACTCGGCCATCAGGACTAGGAAACACTTTGATCACAGACCTGAGACCTGTTTAGAGTCTGCAGTCATCACAGGAACACCTTTGAGTTGCCATCTATCTTTATGACACTGATCCTTTTATACTATACGGTAGGCATGTGTCTGCAATAACGTAAAGGGCTATATACCACTTTTCTTTAGGTTGACTGAGACAGTCACTGATGCATAAAGATGTTTATATAACACTGTAGGCGTCTGTCAGTGTAGGCATTAGTAGGCTCCAGCTCCTGGACATAGCGGAGCCTACTCGCTGAGCTTCAATCGCCCTCGGGTTGGTTATGGGGGTTAGACTGGTTGCTGTGGCCAAATCACTGTGGCCATGCAAGACCGAAATAAATGTAGTAAACTGAAAACACGAAACACGTGAGACAACACGACCTAGGTCAGGACACTGATCACATGGGACATTCAATGCAGGAGCATAACACGACCTACCCCAGGACACATGGGACCTTTCAAACAGACACACAACGCGACCTACCTCAAGACACTGATCAATGAGACATTCAACACAGACACACAACACGACCTACCCCAGGACACATGGGACCTTTCACACAGACACACAACGCGACCTACCTCAAGACACTGATCAATGAGACATTCAACACAGACACACAACACGACCTACCCCAGGACACATGGGACCTTTCACACAGACACACAACGCGACCTACCTCAAGACACTGATCAATGAGACATTCAACACAGACACACAACACGACCTACCCCAGGACACAGGGGACCTTTCACACAGACACACAACGCGACCTACCTCAAGACACTGATCAATGAGACATTCAACACAGACACACAACACGACCTACCCCAGGACACATGGGACCTTTCACACAGACACACAACGCGACCTACCTCAAGACACTGATCAATGAGACATTCAACACAGACACACAACACGACCTACCCCAGGACACAGGGGACCTTTCACACAGACACACAACGCGACCTACCTCAAGACACTGATCAATGAGACATTCAACACAGGAGCATAACACGACCTACCCCAGGACACATGGGACCTTTCACACAGACACACAACGCGACCTACCTCAAGACACTGATCAATGAGACATTCAACACAGACACACAACGCGACCTACCCCAGGACACATGGGACCTTTCACACAGACACACAACGCGACCTACCTCAAGACACTGATCAATGAGACATTCAACACAGACACACAACGCGACCTACTCCAGGACACATGGGACCTTTCACACAGACACACAACGCGACCTACTCCAGGACACATGGGACCTTTCACACAGAAACACAACGCGACCTACCTCAAGACACTGATCAATGAGACATTCAACACAGGAGCATAACACGACCTACCCCAGGACACACGGGACCTTTCAAACAGACACACAACGCGACCTACCTCAAGACACTGATCAATGAGACATTCAACAGAGGAACACATCAAGACCTACCCCAGGACACTGCTCACATGGGACATTCAACACAGGAACACAACACGACCTACCTCAAGACACTGATCACATGAGACATTCAACAGAGGAACACATCAAGACCTACCCCAGGACATTGAACACATGGGACATTCAACACAGGAACACAACGCGACCTACCACAAGACACTGATCACATGAGACATTCTGTAATCGTTGACAAATTGAACATAAAAGCGCTGAAAATGCATATGTAAGATAGCTACACGATAAATCGCAAAGAACAATGAAAAACTAACCGTGGTTTATTTCACGATCAATCATTGTTCTATCATGACGTCATTTTTGGAATTTCGAACATGCGCTCGCAACTTGATGACGTCGTAAATAGGACGACGGAGGGAAGCGTCTATTGAGTTGCTCCCTACAGATATAGCTGGACAGCGCAGATGAACGCACTGGCCGAACGAACGCACCCAAAAGTGGGAGAGATATGACAATCGGTATAGAGAGAAAAGGTGCAGATAATCGACTTAAAAAATGTGAGAATACCAACCTTAACCCCCTTGTACATAAAATTGATTTGTCCGATATTGCCGAGGTCAGTTTGTATTCGGGGAGTCATCATTATGTAAATACGGGTCAATGTTTTGAAAGCTTGTACAATTCATTGACATCCTTAAAAGGGCATACAAAATGTTTATATCTCATGTAAGAAATAAACGACTCATGGTCGTTGTTTATCGTACAATAAAATACTGCAGGGAGAATAAACCGCTCGGTGTTGGGCCCTCATGGCTTGTTCTCCCTCGTCGTGTATTTCTCAAATAAATAGTGCAAGAAATGATAAAACCTCCGCGTAAATAAAACTCATTGATATGAAGGCCCTATTATGACATGAACATAGACATGTCCTTAATTGGCATAAGGAACATTTGTGAAACAAATTATTGAAACACTAATCCCCCTACCTTTCCCCAGATGACTGTAGCACAAATCCTCCCTACCTCTCCCCAGAATATTGTTACACAAATCCTCTAACCATGAAGATCCGGGCAGAGAATAGGTCTTCAGGAACCCATGCTTGCCGTAAGAGGCGACTATGTCTGTCGTAAGCGGCGACTAGCGGTATTCCCCAGATTACTGTAACACAAATCCTCCCACCCTTTCCCCAGATTACTGTAAAACAAATCCTCCCTCCCTTCCCCAGATTACTGTAACACAAATCCTCCCTCCCTTCCCCAGATTACTGTAACACAAATCCTCCCTCCCTTCCCCAGATTACTGCAACACAAATCCTCCCATCCTTTCTCCAGGTTACTGTAACACAAATCCTCCCAACCTTTCCCCAGATTACTGTAACACAAATCCTCCCTCCCTTCCCCTGATAACTGTAACACAAATCCTCCCTCCCTTCCCCAGATTACTGTAACACAAATCCTCCCTCCCTTCCCCTGATAACTGTAACACAAATCCTCCCTCCCTTCCCCAGATTACTGTTACACAAATCCTCCCTCCCTTCCCCAGATTACTGTAACACAAATCCTCCCTCCCTTCCCCAGATTACTGTAACACAAATCCTCCCTCCCTTCCCCTGATAACTGTAACACAAATCCTCCCTCCCTTCCCCAGATTACTGTAACACAAATCCTCCCTCCCTTCCCCTGATTACTGTAACACAAATCCTCCCTCCCTTCCCCAGATTACTGTAACACAAATCCTCCCTCTCTTTCCCAAGATTACTGCAACACAAATCCTCCCATCCTTTCTCCAGGTTACTGTAACACAAATCCTCCCACCCTTTCCCCAGATTACTGATTACTGTTACACAAATCCTCCAACCCTTTCCCCAGATTACTGTAACAGTTATACAGAGGAGCATGGCTACAGGTGATCCTAGATTCTTCTGTTCTGCCGTGGATCAGTCAGTCCTGTATCACCGTAAGGAATTGCGTGAGGCGTGTTGTGTCATAACGAGTGGTAAGTGGTGTCGAGCGCCATGATGAATTAAACAGCGACGACTAGGAGGCGCTTATCTGCTGTCTTCATGTTTCATAATTAAACATGTATGGTGAAGGAATTTTCCAAAGAGGGTTGTAGACGATCGATACCCAAATCTACAACATCGTTCATTGTGTTGCAGAAATGGCGGAGATGTCCGGACCGGGACTCGCGGGTGTATGATGACCAGCGGTCAGCAAACGACAGGGGATGATGACGTCCAGATCCTGTGTCTGCAAGACTATCCGACGACCAACAGCGAGGCAGCTGGAGATGACCCGCATCCCCGCCATAATGACGACGGTAACGAGACTGACTCGTCCTCGACGACAGACGACATCGACATCCCGGCACTAGATGGAGGATGGGGATGGGTGGTTCTTGTCGGGTGCTTCACCATCAACTTCATCTCGGATGGATGTGCCTATTCTTTCGGCGTGCTGTACACAGAACTGCTGGACTATTTCCAGGAAAGCAAGAGCAAGACGTCATGGGTAGGATCTCTGTTCTTCTCAGTCCCACTGCTGTGTGGTCCCGTGTCCAGCGTCATCACGTCCAGGGTGGGCTGCCGGACAGCAACTATTGTGGGCGGGCTCATCGCAGCCACGGGCTTCCTCTCCAGCAGTTTCGTCCAATCCGTAGAGGCCTTGTATTTCACTTACGGCATCGTTGCCGGATTTGGGATGTCCTTACCGTACCTCACATCCATCCTTATCATCAGTCAGTACTTTAAGAAGCGGTTGGCATTCGCGACCGGTGTTGCGGAGTGTGGAGCAGGGGTTGGGACTATTGCCTTTGCGCCTGTAACGGTGGCGCTGTTCTCTGCATTCAGCTGGCGGGGAACCATGTACATCATGGCGGGCATCGCTCTCAACATCGTGGTGTGTGGAGCGCTGTTCAGGCCGATAAATGTTAAAAAAACCACTGTTAATGTGAATAAGGATTGCAAGAAATTGGAAACACGGGATGGAGATACAGGAAGCAAACTTCTGGGAAACACGACAGAAGCATATGGAGATGATTCATTGTGTTGTGAAATCAGTACTTGCCCCAACGGCGACATCAGTTATGACAAACCAGCAAAACATTTTACGAATACTGAAGGGGAGACACTTTGCTGCAATCCTGACCCACATATGCTCCATGAGACTGAAAACCCATCCCAAGATGGCCCCCATCATAGCAATGATCCTAATCCTGAATGTGTGTCTGCCTGTCATCGACATCTACGTGGGCTCAACACATCGCTCCAGCTAGCCATGTTCAGTCACCCCATCTTCATCTTGTTCATCACCTCCAACTTCATCCTCTACTTCTGGTTCGACGTACCCTTTGTCTTCCTAGCCAACAGGGCGGTGTTGTCAGGGATGACAGAGACCCGGGCAGCGTTGTTGGTGTCCGTCATCGGTATCCTCCACACAGTTGGCAACCTTGTGTTTGGGATAGCTGGAGACATGCAAAGACTCAGTCTTCCCTTGTTGTATGGCGTGTCCATATCAATTTGTGGCGCGGCCCTGCTAGTGGTTCCTTTCTCCTCAGCGTTCCTTCCTCTGGCCTGTATAGCTGGTGTGTTCGGACTCCTGTCTGCGTCCAGCGAGGCCCTCAGCTCCATCCTCCTCATCGACATCCTTGGGGAGGCAAGTCTCAGTCAGAGTTACGGCTTCACAATGCTGCTCAAAGGGATTGCGAACCTTGTGGGGCCACCATGTGCAGGTAGGATATACGATACATATGAATTTAATGGTGTTTCCTGCAACTTGATTGACTGAACATGTTAAATTGGATGATACCGGGATGTCTTCTAGAGCATTTGCAAGGTATGAATACGGTTTCTGCGATCCATTATTTGATAATCGTCGCCTTTGGTTTGGCAAAATTGATACCGTATTACAGTAAACTACGGTTATAACGAACACGCTTATAACGAACTGACGGATATAACGAACTTACATTTTGGTCCCGACTACTTGCTGTAGTCATGCTGTATATGTACTTATATCGAACTACGGTTATAACGAACTAAAATAAGTAGTCCCTTTGAGTTCGTTATAACCGTAGTTTACTGTAAATAAAAATTAAGTTTGATAAAAAAAATTAGAACGCCTTCGATCAAGTTGTTTTTTTGTCTCGACATTCTGCTAACAAATCGGGTTAAGCTATTACGGATGCTGCAATGTCACCCTTGACACAGAGGCGAAACCACCGTGTTGGAAAATGCAAAAGCATAGCATTCATGAGTGATGGCATTGAGTCTTACAATTTCGAGTTTACTTTGTTTGTTTGTTGTATAACGCCGTACTCATCATTATTCAAGACATTCAAGAGTCCGTACCAGATATATCAATGCTTGCCATCGTGAGCATCGATCTACACAATTGGGATACGATGACATGCATGGACCAAGTGTTTCATCAACCAATGTTTAATGTGAAACGTCCCCTAACGTCGTCGGCTCCAAATTCAATGTCCAGACAATACGTGCACAGTGACCCCTAGAAGTCTAAAGACACATACCGTCCATCTTCGAATGTTCAGGGCTATTAACCACTGTTGTTTCACATTCATTGCTTAGTGTGTGCCAGTGGTCTCGCGAGTTTAAACTTCTATATCCACCTATTTGAAGACCGCCTCCGTGGTCTAGTGGACAGAACGTCTGCCCAGAAAGTTGAAGGTCGGTAGTTCGATCCCCGGCGGGCGTCATAACAAAATAAGATGGTTCTTGTTGTTACCCTGTCTGGCACTCGGCATTAAGGTGCTAAAACAAGAACTGTTCGGCAAGGAGTCAGTATACTGTGCCAGAGTGGGTATTCCTGTTAAACTGCGGCATGGTTTCTCAGTGGGCTGGCACTATAAAACCGGCATCAGTCCGGACTAGTACAAGCACACGCACGCACAGAAGCACACACGCAGTATATAAGCACGATAATCTTGAACGCGACGTTCCCATTAATTGCCCATGTCAACTCACCCAGTCCAGTCAAACTATATTCCTGGGGCCCGTTACACAAAGCGGTCTTAGCGCTACGTCAATCGTAATCCAATGTTAAAAGTATGGTAGTAACGATCATCTTAGCGCTAAGATCGCGTTGTGGAACGGGCCAATGAATGAGTAGCGCCATATGCTGCTCGTTAGTTTCGCCAAACTGGTAAAGGTCAAGGATACGTCAATTGGTGCGTCTTTTCCACATTAAAGAATGTCGGGACTGAAATGTTGATTAACTGTTCGCTCATTCACTCTAACTCCGTCCTGGTAGAGCGCGATGTGTAGGAACCAGCAATATTTACATCACTATAAAATGACTGTAAATCCCCCTTGTTAAACGTGCAAGTTACTTTGAGTTCCTATATGTTGCAGGATGGCTGTTTGATGCGTCTGGTAGCTATGACAACACCTTCTACGCAGCCGGAACCTGCCTGGTGATAGCAGGTCTGATGTACACACCGACGCCCCTGCTGAGACGATGTAGTAGATGTCGTCACGCTGACACGAACACGCGGAAGTAAATGACGTCACGCTATGTACGGCGTCATGCTGCCATTAACGCCGTAACGTAGATGACGCACCACTGTCACTCCGGCGGTGTAGATGACTAGCATCGTGGAACAAAGATAGACAATTTAAATCAGGGACAGGTAGATGAGCAGGTGACACCCGGGCTTGGGATTTCATTAACAAGAAGGCGTCAGCGGTGGGGAGGGGACGGAGGGGTGCGGTTTTGGGTATATGGTCAAAATAGTAGACCTAGCAAATATGATTCATGGCTTTTACTTCACTGGTGGGCACGGGTGGCCCTGTCGTCTAAGGCACCGTAATTCGCTGCGCAGGGTTGCGTCCCTTTGGCACGCAAGAAACCTATGATCAGTTCGAATCCCGTTTTACCCTGGGTCCGGTTCCACAAAGCGATCTTAACGCTGAGGTGGTCGTAACTCCCATACTTTAACATAGACTTACGATAGTCGTAACGTTGGATCGCTATTGGAACGGGACTCTTATAATGATTCTAGGTTTGTCAGTGGTAAACGTCTTCAAGACTTCGGGCTTTCCTCCCACATTCAACTGACATGATTTGACTGGAAGATTGTTCAAAGCGGCGTTAAACCCAGCTCACTCACTGATTTTCTAATAACGTCAATCTAGCAATGAACTATTGACATACTTACAATACATCAGTGAGTGAGTGAGTGAGTTGGGTTTAACGCCGCTTTTAACAGTATTCCAGTCAGTTCACGGCGTGTCAGCTTAATGTGGGAGGAAAGCCCCAAGTGATGCAGGTCTCAGACGTTTACCACTTCGGTGAAACCCACGAGCACGGGCATGGTGCTGACAAACCTAGAAACATGATCGGGGCGAACCGGGATTTCACCCACAATCATAGGTTTCTGGCGTGCCCAAGGGACGCATCTCTGCACAGCGAATCGCGGCGAATTCTTTTACGACGCACGTCAAAAACACTTCGATACAGACTGAATTACTTTTGTTATCTCGTCGCAATGACCTTTCTGATTTTCTGCTGCCCTTGACCTGCAATGGTCGTGTACTACCTCAGAGTACAAAAATGATGCAATACGTGGAAAACGAAATATCAGTGAGATTCCCAAAGCAATTACTTTTCACAATAAGAATATTTTTGTAATAAAATATATGAATACATACACTGAGTATAATTGAGAGATTTTGAAGAATATTTTGTTTTCCTCAACAACGATTCCTCAACAACGATTCCTGATTGAAATCCGAAGGGTTCCAAGATCGTATTCAAGAACCTCGTCGATTCCACATTTTCTGTCAACGTAGCCCCTCTCTACAGATGATGCACGTGATGCGTAGTTTACTGTATTCCAACTTTATGACGGCGGTCTGTAAATAATCGAGTCTTGACCAGATAATCCTGTGATTGACACTATGAGCATCGATCCACGCAAATGGGATACGATGATATGCATCAACCAAGTCAGCGAGCTTGACCATTCGATCACGTTAGTCGCCTCTTTCGGCCAGAATTGGTTGCTGAAGACCTATTCTACCCCAGATCTTCACGGGTCTACTCCACTTGCAGGTATCTCATATACCTTTCGTTGCAGCCGCTGTGATTCCGGGTTAGAATAGGCCCCAACAACCAATTCTGGTCGTAAGAGGTGACTATGACCGGAGTATCAGGCTAGGTATTATGGTTGATTGTGTGTCATCGTATCCCTCTCAATATCAATCACTGGTTCGTCTGGCACAGACTTGATTAGTTACCGGCCACCGTCATATTGTTGAAATATTGGTGACTGCGGCGTTATACCACCTTGGCAACCCGTGACACCCTATACAGTGTACCCGGGTATAGTAGCATATCTATCTATCTATCTATCTATCTATCTATCTATCTATCTATCTATCTATCTATCTATCTATCTATCTATCTATCTATCTATCTATCTATCTATAATCTATCTGAGTATCAATCTATTATCTATCTATCTATCTATCTATTATCTATCAATCTATTATCTATCTATCTATCTATCTATTATCTATCTATCTATCTATCTATTATCTATCTCTCTATCTATCTATCTACCTATCTATCTATTATCTATCTATCTATCTATCTATCTATCTATCTATCCTATCTATGGTGCCTCGCCCCGCCCAATTTTCTGCTAACCTAATATGACACTGTATTCGGCAACTACAGACACTATAACGTATGCGGATATCTTTACACTATCTGGTATCTTCATCGCTTTCAGTTTATTTTCATGTAAAACGTTAAACGTGGTGAAATGTAGTCAGTTTTAACTATCTCGACATATATCTAGACTTACGTTGGATGTTCCGCTTGTGCCATCAGTGTCCCCTGCCAAGGGTTTTCTGTGGCACGGTTTCCAAAGGTGGTTGTTTATGAATGAACGTACACGACTGCACGATCAGATCACTCAAAGTGAACAGTTCCGATACAAATTATTCGAAAAGTCTGTGGGTGTTTATCTGAATTCTGTTTTTGTTGCCCAAAACATCCCCAATGTGAACAATAACTTTTCCTATGTATCTCTAGCGTAAAACGCTGTGGCTAGATCACGGTTGTCTTTTCTTATTCTGGTGACCTTGCCCTTCGTTTGATGCTGTCACTGACAAGCAAGCAGACACGATTTTCACTTCTTCAGGGTGGGGTCTTACAGTTAACACGGCCGTCTTTCGCAAAAAACATGTTTTCATTCTGCAAATTTGTACAGACATGTATTAATTCAGATGACAGACCGAGGAAACAAAACCATTTGGATGCACAGCCGGGATCCGTACGGTGTAAGTGACCGATTGCTGTTCCGAAATTCAAATTTCGGCGCAAATTGACTTTTTAAGTTTTCTTACAGCTGTCCTGCGTACTAAGAACAATGCGCTTGAATTGTCATCAGTTTTAGCAGGAACATTTTGTGAATGCGTATGCTTAGAAATGTCAACAATGCCTACATTTGGGCATACAAAAAATACATGTATATGAACATTCGTGCACAACCAGATTTGCAACCGGTTTCGGTTTGGTCTGTTGACGAACGAAAGTTATGTATTTACACTTAAATACATATTTAAAGTGGGTAATAAATAAAATACCACACTCAATTTCGTTAGATTCTATATTTACAAAATTCGCGAACTTTCTATGGAATCTGACCTCGCGATACCATAGAAAGTCCACTCGTTTCGTAAAAATGGTCTCTAACGAGAATGAGTGTAGTATTCTCAATATACTCAGCAGCGCACGTTCCGCGTAATAAATGACTGAAAATATGTGCTGAACATAACACGTCAACAGCAGATGCCACGACATAATTAATTAATGCCTAAAATCTTAATTACTTTGTTTCAACTCAATTATTTTTGCTACTTTGTAGTCAGGTTATAAGCGAATACAGAGCTTGATAATTTTGTGAATATCTAAGGCGCATGGTGATAAAAGATGCGCATATTTCTGGATAGTTTTGTTTGGTATAAAGTAATTAATGTAATGTTTTGTGCAAAGTTAACTGTAAGCCAATAACATGTAAGAAACGACTTGCACGTGAAGGTCATAAGATTAATTATGGACGGCAACAATAGGAAGCCATTTGATGATGACAAAGTTGTGGTGGAAATGACTTGTGTAGCTTGTAGGCAAACACCTAGATATCAAACGTCCGCGCGAGAGTGAGTGAGTGAGTGAGTATGGTTTTACGCCGCTTTTAGCAATATTCCAGCAATATCACGGCGGGGGATACCAGAAATGGGCTTCACTCATTGCACCCATGTCGGGAATCGAACCCGGGTCTTCGGCGTGACGAGCGAACGCTTTAACCACTAGGCTACCCGACCGCACCCCGCGCGAGAGAATAACCGACTAATTGATTGAATGGGGTGTAAAAGGGGAAATAGCGGCGACAATTTTGAATGGATGAGTGAAAATCAGTGATGACCCCAGATATTCGGGGGACACCAGAAATGGGCTTCACACATTGTACCCATGTCGAGAATCGAACAAGGGTCTTCGGCGTGACGAGCGCATAAGAAGATAGAACCGTGAAGATCCGGGGTAGAATAGGTCTTCAGCGACCCATGCTTGCCTTTAAAGGCGACTATGCTTGTCGTAAGAGGCGACGGGTGGTCAGGCTCGCTGACATGGTTGATGCATGTCCTCGTATCCCAAATGCGTGGACCAGAGCTCATGATGTCAATCACTGGATGGTCTGGTCCAGACTCGATTATTTACAGACCGCTGGAATATTGCTGAGTGCGGCGTTAAACAACAAATAAACAAACAAACAAAGCATGAAAAGATAAGTGTTTGCTTAGCACCGTACAGCAGCATTTCTTTCCAAGCAACGGCGGCCTGTAAACAAATCAGACAACAAATGATGGACCAGAAACTCCAGTGATTTACTGATTTTTTAAAACTAAAACATCATATGTTAATTTGGAATTACGTCCCTTGCGTACACGTTTAGGGGCTGGTTCCTATTGATGTTTATACTGTAGCTTTAGGTTATTGTAGCCAAACTGCACGTGCTGTATTTGTAGGTAGCAAAACACGTGATATTACGAATTTGGGGACTGTATGATAAGCTAAGACCGTATGTTGCAAATGTAGAGTTGAAATTGATGTTGTGTTTGGTCAATTGTTCATGCAACCCGTGCTCGTCGTAAGATGCGACTATGCTTGTAAGAGGCGACTAACGGGATCAGGTGATCAGGCTCGCTGACTTCTTTGATGCATGTCATCATATCCCAGTTGCATTTATCCCGACAACAAACAAGCATTTTTTTATGCATGAGGTAGCGTTATAATATGTGCGAGTTTCGATCTCCTGATTAATATTTCATGTGTTAAGTTTCATATGGACTGGAGTGTATTTATCGAGGCCTACAGATAGAAATATTGCTATCATTCGTCGAGCCGTCAGCTTTGCCAGTCATCATTGATATAACACGCCATCAGATACTTCCTGTTTAATTCAACACTGACGATATTATGCTCGCTCACAGAAAAAAGTATCAACTTCCGGGTGTGTATCACACTTACCAGCTCGACACGACCTCATGATTTATGCAATATAATTATGCAAACAATGTTCATGTTATAGTTTGGATACTGCCCAGTGTTTCTATATGATATATATCCGGTAAAACCCTTCGCCATCCGTCACCCTAGTGTACAACGCAAATATCGGAATACGGTGAACAATTTGCGTTCGGGGATAGTTTTTGTTTTGTTGAAAATCCATCCCCCAATGAGTTATATTTTATGTATGTTACAGTCAATGTGTAAAATCAGTCAATTTGTAAAATGACAAGATAATTTTCTATTTTTGGGAGAAGTAAAAGTTGCATCTGTTTGCTGAAAAGAAGTCAAACCGTCAATAATACATTCTCAAAGATAACATATTCTCCATTTTGGTGACTTTTAGAGGCTGAGAAGAGAAGTGCAATAACAAGTTAAAGTCAACGTGTCAAACATTCTACCTGATGTTTCATTCAATTTGTGAAATGACTGAAACTTTCATTGACTGGGACATGTAATATAAACTGACGTCCAAAAGAAACTTTACCAGAGTTTGAAATCACTCTTGCTCAAAAGCAACAAAAAATACATGCATGAAGTAAAGTGTATTGAGAAGATCAATATATCAACATAAGCAACACTGAAAATGACAATCATACCGCGACCGAGAATGACGTCAGAGCCCCCCAAAGTTGGGTGTGGTACAAAACTCGAGCTTTCAGAATCATGGACAATGGGCAGAGTACATAAACAATCGCTCACGT